CCCAACATTGATTGGGTTACAAATACCGCGCTGTCTAGCAAACTCACGCATCTTTTCTTTGTGATGTTTAACGAATAGGTTGACGTAGTCAGGTCCATATCCCCTCTTTCTTGCAATTAGTTGCCTCTTCTTCAGTTCATCCAAGAACTTAGCTTGACCATCGTAACGTTCCCACCTGCATTTCCTAGTGCTCTGTTCAAAATAAATATTATATCATATATGTCTGAGCAAAAGAAACAAAATACGATTCCATGTTTACCATAAAAATAACGAACCTCTTCGTACTCAACCATATTGCCGCAATAATGGTCTATTCCAAGCTCCGAAGGGACTAGACCATAATTAGAATTAACACCACATTCGCACTTGACCGGTTGTGCTTTGTAAATTAACCTTTTTTCTTCTTTTATTTTGCTTCTGGAGGTTCTTCAGGCCATTTGTTCTTAGGACCATACAACCACTCCTTGAAACGACACTTCGTCATTGAATACACCTAAATAACGTGACATTAGTACATGACACATATAGCTCAATATTTCAACACATACACTTTGCACTTACTTCATTCTTGTTTGGACACACAAACTCCAACGTATTGTCAGGGTTTATCACGGCTCGGTCTCCGCAATGACACAGAGGAGGTTCCTCGAGTCGTCTAACTGCGGCTAAGTGCTTTTCCTTAGCCGTCATTGGAGGGGGGTTCGGAGGAGGTGGAACCCACCGCTCAAAGTGCTCTCGTGGATGTCGGCCACTCCACCAATCGTCGAAAAGGAGGTACCTGGGATCAAACTTGTCTGCACCATCGATCCACTGAAAGAAAAGACACCTCCCATGGTCCTACACAACAAAAAATTTAAAAAATATTAGTAATCTAGTAATACAAATGAAGAAGAAAAAGATAGTGGAAATAATTACTTACATTAAAACGATTGCATGTGTAGAAGCAACGAGCCGCTGTGTCCGGATGTCTCGATTGAAACACGTCGGCCGGACGACCACAGTCACAATTAGGGACAGGGAGTTCAGGAGGGACAGGGGCATCTTTGCTAGACTCGTCGGGGTACATTTCTCTAGGACGACCCCGTTTTCGTCATAACTGTTTCCGAAACATATCTTCCATCTAATAAAACGGTTCAAATTAAACATCAATCAAAATAACGTAAATTAATGTAAAATGTAATCATTTGCGATGCAACTAAAATATTGTAAACAACAAATATAGCAACAAAAATATACATGACAAACATACTTCTAACTAAATAATTAACCTTAACATTGACAAAATCAAACTAATATGTTCACCATAGTCCCTAAACATAATTTTTCTACTAACCTTAACTTCCATTCATAATATCATATCCACCATTCAAACGAAAATAAAATGTGCGTCATTACCTTGGACTAGGACGAGGAGGGAGGGAGTTGGCCGGGGAATGGAAGGGAAGGGAGGGAGGCGGCAATGGAGGGCCGGGCTGCCGCCGTTCGTGGCGCGGCCGCCGCCGTGCTTGGCGACGGGCGGGAGCGGGACCGACGCATAGGCTGCTTTGCTGCTCGGGCAGCGGGACTGGCCGCGGCGGAGGTTATACCCGGCTCTGCCGCGCCATGGATCAGGGCGCGGCACTGCCGCGCCAAGATCGGTGGCGCGGCAGAGCCCTGCCACGTCAGCGGTCAACGCTTCTGGTCGCCACCACGTCAGCTCCCTGCCGCGCCACCATGCATGACGCGGCACAGGCATTTGGCCGCGCCAGAGCAATAGGCGTGGCCAAAAGTGTTAGTTTAAAAAAACTGAGAGTGTTAGATTTAAAATTAGTTTCGAAAAAATGTTAAAATTAAAAAAAAAATCCACACTGCTGGGGCTGGGGGTGGGGAGGCGGGGAAGTAGGCCCTGTTTGATTGATGCAGTATCTATTACAAATACTCCATTTTATTTCAGAAATTATATTATTATTACCTGTCTATAAATAACCATTGTTCATCTAAACGGTCGTTTAGCCCGTTTACACACTGTATAAACACTACACAGTGGTACACTATTTTTGTTTAATCAGTTGTTTAGCCCGTTTTTAAACGGCTGTTTTGCCCGCTTAAGTGTCCATTTAGATTAAATAATGGTTAAACGGTAAGTGACTTACTGTTTAGCGTTTAGGATAACATTGAATACCATTTTAAACGTGCGACGGATAGCCAGGAGAAGAACCAGCCATCAGCCGAGCACGACTGCAAGACATCGGGCCTGGTCTAGCTGGTACTTGCAAATGGATTTGTTCTTATTTATGGGCTCCTTTTATTTCAAAAATTATTAGGCTGTTTAGTTCTATTTCTAGTCTGTCTAGTTTTTTTAAGATAGGGTAGTCAAAGTCTTGCTAGTGCTATGCAAAATGCAATTGTTTGGTTGCATGGACCGTTTAAGGGTACAACTGCATAGCTTGGCTTGTATAAAATCATCTCATCTTTGTCACGGTATGTTTACCCTATCGCACATTCTATCGAACATTTGGTGAGCATCACCTGTAGCTGCGTCGAGCTTGTGTCCATGTCCAACGTGGGTGGAGAAGTGGACCAGTGGCCCACAACCAGAGAAGCACGTCGCGGAGGCACCCCTGGACCTCAAATTCGTCGGACAAGTCTACCTCCTTCCCGGCCTTGCCTTCCTCTTCCTGGCCGGCCAACAAGTCTTCGTCTTCCTAGCATCGTTGTCCTCGCGCGGGAGCAGCAACGCGCACACGAGGTCCCGACGAAGCTCACGTGGTGGCTGGCGGCGTGCAGGGAGGGGCGGGGGCGAAGCTCGCGTGGAGGAAGGTGGCCGACGATGCTCGCGCAAGGGCGGAGGAGCTCGCTGACAAGGGCTCGGCGACAGTCGTGGTGACTGGTGAGTGGACGAGAAGGTGAGTGGGCGAGCGCGCGAGCGTTAGCCAAGCCTGGCTAGCGGGGAATGCCCTGCCGCTGTGTTCCCAGGAAGCCAGACGCGGGAGCGGTCGGTGCTCTAGCCAAGCCAAGAGTCTAAATAGTCCACCCTATATCCCCAAAATGCATGGCTTCCTCAAATCTAGATAAAGGCCACAGACCAGACAGATTCTATATGGTAAACACTAGTTGTTTCGTGGTAAGTTATGCTAGCAACTGCTAAGGCCTCTAACTGTGATTGATGGGTGAACACTGTGGTACTCGTATATAGTCTCAATGCACGATGATTGTCCAATTTATTACAATTTATTTATGTCATATAAGTATAGTTGTACACTCATGTAGGATATAAATTTGTCTAGCAGTCGAGGTTCACCGTAGTGAACCCACAGGGAGAATTTTCAGAGACAGCGTTCTTTTTAAAGACGTGCAAGTCAGTCCATCTCTAATCAATCGTCACTGTTAATCGCCATTTACAAAGACGGTCAGTCCATCCGCCTCAATAAAACGATTAACAAAGACAGCGTCAATAAATCGATTAAGACAGGTACATGCTTTAGGTGGACATGTTTTAGATGGAAGATACCTGTTTTTAGATAGTCCTATTGTCTACTCCAATTTCCAAACGTGGCATATCCAGGTTAACCCTGAGGGCCCCTTTGGTTCACGGGGCAAACGCAGGAAAGGTTCAGGAATCGAGTTCCTACGGAATTTTTCCTACGGTGGCCTTTGGTTCGCAGGAACGTTTCCATAGGAAGGCAATCCAGAGCGCGATTCCACAGGATTTTCACGGGAAACTATCCAAGAGCTCAGACCTCTTGATAACTTTCCTGGCGCGAAAAGAGAGCGCTCGCGGGCGCGCTGTTGGCGCCAGACCAGAGCTGAAGCAGAGCGAAAGCAGACCAGATCCGCCCTACGCCACCACTCCCTCTCCCTCGCGCGGCCGGGGGCGCCACAGCCCGGGTGGTGGGCGGCAGAGCTCCGACGCTGTAGCCGCGCGGGACCAGAGGTGGTGGCCGTCGCGGCCGTCGTGTACCGTGTCCTCGCCGGGGTCCTGGTGCCCGCGGCGCCCGGGCGCCGTGACGTCGTCCAGGCGGAGGCACGGCAAATCCACCTGCTCAGCGCACCCGAGACGAGGGAGCCCATCGCGGACCCCCCTTGCCGCTGCCTCTGCATCTTCCCGGCGCAGCCCAGCACGGTGGCCTTGGCTAGCAGCTCCATTGCGGCGCAGCGAGGGCGAGGCTCACTAATCCAAGTCCGGCTGCTCTCTACACACACCGAAACTACCATGGATTAGTAGATCAGCACCTGGGGAGCACGGATCTGGGTTTAGCTTGGGCTGATTTGGGCTCAATTAGCAGATCAGCTCGGGGGAGGAGCGGCGGCGGCGGCGTCGTCGGGTGGAGGGGGCGGGATGGGTGGGTGGGTGGGAATTTCTACAGGTCCACTCCTTTCTCCATTTTTTTTTTGAATGGCCTTTCTCCATTTTTTATCCTAAGGGAGCGAGGGGTGTGTGCCAAAGGACTTGCGTATGTGTACTGTTCTCGTAGGATTCGCAAAGTCATACCCTTCCGTTCCTATGAATTTCCTATCCCTACTCTTTTGCTACTCGAGTTCCAAAGGGGCCCTGAGTGTTCTAGCTCCCCCAAACTAAACTATCCCACATGAATGGGATTATCTGCTCTAAACTCGTAATGATTTGACATCTGTTATATTGCAGAGAGTACTACCTTTTTTTTTTTGAAGTACTACGTTTATATGGTTTAGAGTTAAGACACTGGATGGGTAAATACCCAATTCATCATCTGAATACAACCTCTTTATCCCCTTCAGAGGGCATTCAAATTCTAAACGGCAAATATTGGTTACATGAAACTGAAAGCCAGCCAGCAACAACATTGAATGGAACAAGAATGCAACAATTGATAGATATCAGAATATAACACTATCTCAGATTCAGAATAGCATTTTAGACAAAATATCTAAACAAGGCAGTTTAAAATTGACATCTTGACAAGCTAACTGGAAGTGATTCGCGCATTACATTTTCAAGACATCGAAGCATAGAGGATCAAAATCAAAACCACCAAAGCAATCTAAGCAGCAGCAGCCACCTTTTTAAGCTTAGCAAGCTCTTGCCTGATGGCACCACCCCTCTGTTCAAATGACAACCATATCAGTATATTAGGGCATAAGCAGAATAGATACATTAAAACTACTCAGAGAATGTGTCAAACCTTGATCTTCGCCAACATGACCTTGAACCTGTCAAAGTCATTGAGCGATGCTCTCCTCTTCTGGACAATCAGCTTCTTGCCCCATGAGCTATTCTCCCACTTGCTTTTCACATCTGCAATTAGGATATAATCAGTGGTTTATAGACATCAGGTAGATATCAAAGAATTAACTCCAGGGACAGTTAATCACCAGCTTCCTCCATTGCCTTAATCAATGTAGTCTTCTTTGGGACACGTTTAATGTCAATCTTGATGTCAGTCAGGGAAAGCCGCTTGAAGTTAATTTGGCAACGGACCATGTCAGGGGCATCCACAAGGGCCTAATACCAGACAGACACTTAAAACTTCAATCATCACCAGAAAGCAAATCAATGATGATTATCATCGATCAAATAGCTATTAGTAAGTAATTTCAGTTTCGTACATAGTGGGCTGATTGGCCAAGCAGAACCCATTGACATAATTATCAAGAAATAATAAAGAATTGTCATTTTTTATCCACAACAGCAAAGCCAAAATTCATTACCAAGAAGCAATGAAATTACAAGCGCTATGTTCAATCACACAGCAATGCATAGAAACGATATTAAGTGACTGCGCCTCTGATCACAACGGGTTCAGCCATCTAGGCAAACTTCCCCAAATGACCTACCTAATGATTATCAGGAAACTAATAAAGAATTGCCATAGCAGACAAATATAAACTTTAAACTAGTAGAAAATGTTTTAATACTCAAGGTACACATGAACTTCCCATATTTCACATGATGATTTAATGAATGGATTATCTTTGTAATCACGGAAAATCAATAGACTTGAATAGACAGGAGTTGATTTCATTTACAAGGAAATGACTAATCCATATTTACAAGGAAATGATTAGTCCATATTTGTCGATCAAAATTCAATAATGCCATACATGGTTATTAAGGCGTGACGAGTGACTACCGCCTTACGCTAAGGCGACTAAGGCGTGAGGCGAGGCGACGCCTTACGAATTTAAGAAAAACTTAAAACAACAGCTTAGAGTAGTATATGATGAAGAAAAAAGAAAAGAAAAAAAAGAAAAAGAAAGGAGGAGTAAGAAGTGGGCTGGCCCAGTCCACCAGGCGGCCCATGTGCCCCTCCCCCTCCTGGCGTGGCTTATCCCAATCCCCTCCAGCGCTGCTCCTCTCTCGTTCTCCACCACTCATTCCGCCTCTGCTCGTCTCTCCACCGCTCCGCTTCCCTCCGCAGCTCCTCCCCTCTCTCCGGATGCGCTGCTCTGCTCCCCTCCCTTGCTGCTCCCCTCCATCGCTGCTCCCCTTCCAGATCTACAGCCGCCGCTGTCCCCTTCCAGATCGAGCAGACGGCGGCGAGGAGAAGGCGGAATAGAGAGGACCAGCATCAGAATCGATGAGGAGACGGCGGAATCGAGGGGGGCGTCAGCATGCGCATAAGGCGACAAGGCGCCGCCTTACCCCTAAGGCGAGCATGGAGCGCCCTGTCGCTTAAGCAACGCCTAAGCGACGCCCTAATAACACTGATGCCATATATTGAGATCATCAGATCAATACAGTATCTTGCTTAATGTAAGCATGTCGGTATGTCATTTCTAAAAGGGCAAAAAAAAAACATAGCAGATCACATTGCAGTCAACAAATTCAAAAACCACTAACTGCATCGCTGTATCATATATAGAACATGATAATGCCACATAAAACCGAGTGAACCAACATTGCAGAAAAATTTCTGTAGGTGCACTCACAAAAAACTCAGAGCAGCTATATACAGTGATATATGCTTTGTCTGGTAAAAAAAATACCAGACACATGGCTTTAGAAGGTCTTCATTGTGTCTTCAAAGAGATTTTGCAAAGATTTTAAATACAAAAGTACACATATAATTTACATGTTTTCAAACTAAATAATGTAACAGTTTTTTTATGTTTCTCATTTTTATTAAAGTTTGACCAAATAGTGTCCTAACCCCTAAACAACATGTTTTTGTAACCAGAGAAGTGCTTCGCTTGCCAACTTTAACTACAAAGGGCATATATACATAATTAGACAGAACATTGCAATTAATTTCAGTAAAACAGAAATTCGCTGTCTAAACATTCAGAATTAACTGGTAAAAGGTGGATCGACCATTTTCATAAGAGACTATTATTAGCATCAACTAGTGACCAGAGTTTACTGTACCAACTGTGATATTAGTGATGTTGCTAACTTGTACTACACAGATCAAAGCATAACAGTCCACAGAACCAGAGTTTACTGTACCAACTGTGATATAAATGATGTTGCTAACTTGTTCTACACAGATCAAAGCATAACAGTCAGAACATCAAAATGATCAATTCAACTGTGCAGGCTACTTCTCTAATGCAGAGACGGACGACCACCAGAACAGTAATGATCAACGACCCAACGCGCGCACCAGAAAGTAATGATCAACGACCTAACGCGCGCAACAGAAAAAAAAAAAGTTCATAAAACCACAGTACCATCGAACACCTGGCCTGTATGCACACCTCAGCCCAAGCAAACCAATGGAGACCACGAGAGAGAGGTGATCCGACTCACCCTGTTCTGGTCGACGACGTCGACGATGACGACGAGGCGGCCATACTCCTTGCCGTAGTTCACAAGGGCCACTCGCCCGATCTCCACAAACCTCTTGAACGGCTGCAGAAGCACGACATCAACAAGGTGCGCATAAATTAGCCAACAACACCAACGAAAAAAAGCAGCAAAAATCCTCGACGTGGGAAGATATCGCGAGGACATCTTACCATTTTGGCTGCGGGCGGAGACGGTAGCGGCGGCGGGGCGGCGGCGCGGGGTGGGCGGCTGGGGAAGAGGGGTTTTGTTGATGCCGCAGACGTATATAGAGAGGAATGGATGTGGGTGAGCCGATGGATCTTGGGAAGACGGATTGTAGCCGTCCGATCTAGGTTAGATGAGTTAGAGGCTTTTGAGGCTGATGATTTTGGGCTAAACATTGTTGGGCTTCATTGTGTGGGCCGGGCTGGCCTTTGATTGAACTTTATCTCCTATTTTTGGCTGAGTCAGCATTTTTCCATTAAGGTTTTGTTTAGCTGCACATAAATCCACCATAATCCACGTGATTTGGAAGGGATTGAAGTAAAACTTAAACTAAATTCCACCTCAATCCCTCCCAAACCATGTGGATTGGGGTGGATTTGTGTGACCTCAATCACTCCCAAACTATGTGGATTAAGGTGGATTTGTGTGCAGCCAAACAAGACCTAAGGCCTTAATAATTCAGTTGAGACTTAAAATGGCATGTTTGGTTTGCTCATAAAATATGTGTCGAGTTAATCTTTGGCATATCTTGAAATATGAATAAGTGGAACATGCCTTATCGCAATTTTGGCACCAAATGCAAATAGTCAGTTTGGCCTGGTGTAATCTTTCTCAGGGGTTGTTGTTTTACTTGGTCAAGGGTCTATGTTGTTTTTGAGGTTGCGTGGAGACTGTGGTGCTAAACTGGTTCAAATGGTATGCCATTTGTGAGTTAAAAGACCGGAGCTTGGCTCTAAAACTCAAAAAAATTGCACACAGGCAGCATAACTTTTGTGGTGTCTCCTTAAGAGCCCCCTCCTGAAATTCGGAGTTCACAAATGATTGATTAAATGACTTTCCTACGGTAAGTCACGACGTGAATTCCCCACTATCTTGAGTGTATAATTTTGATTCAAGAGTCCATACTGGTTTAAGCAAAAACCTCTCAAACTTACATTTTGTTCTCTTTGTTCCGGTGTCAGGTAGGTGGAGTAGTCGTGGAGGAGCGGCTTGGTTGCAGGCCAAGCAGGCAGAGCTGGTTGCCACCATCGTGGGGCTCGGTGGAGGGCCACATGAGCGTGTCGCCATGGGCCGCTCCGATCGCTCTTTTGCGTCGACTCGCAGCTGGAGCGTATGGGTGTATTTGGCTGTATAGGTTAGCCTAGCATGGCTTAAATTTTAACCCAGACTAGCTGAAGCCTACTTTGAGCAATGCAACCAACTATTGTTTGGTTCCATTGGCTAGCTAAGCTTGTCTTAGAAATGTCTTCTTCTCCCCGGCATCTAACGCTCACCACGCCGTCCCTCTCCGGCGACTGCGCCCACCTCTGTGGCTGCTGTCGGAGCGCTCACGTCCCTCCCCTATCGTCGAGCCATTGTCGCTTGCGGACCCTCCCTTGTACTTGAATTGCCGCTGGATCTTGGCCAAAGCTCAGGGAGATGCTCCCTCTCCAGCCGCCTCCGCCTCTACATTCAACGCACCCGCGCTCGACCCTCTCCGCCACGCCTGCCTCTACACCTGACAGAGCTTAGGGAGATGGATGACGGCAGCCACGCTCGCCTCCGTCGGCTCTACGCCCATGCCTCCGCCTCTGCCCGCCTGCACCTCATGTGGGCCCCATGCTACTACAAGCCATGCCTACGGGAAACGGAGCACCCAAGCTATCGGGGTTGAAACCCCGGGGTGTCTCAAGGCATCGATTAGTTAGAAGGCCGCGCGGCCCGCAACACAATGGCTACAAAAAGGCCCAAACGACCGAGGCCCGGTGAGAGACGAGCGGAGCGGGCAAGGCACCAAGGCCGGGGTCACCCTCGACCCCTTCCACCCGCCTTGGTCACACGACACTCGCAAGACGCTCGACCTCTCCCCATCACGCCCTCGGAAGGGATGGGGGAGGTCGAGCGTGGCTAGGTGTGCCTGCTCTGACAAGAGCAAGCGTGCCACACTGACCCTGCAAGAACCGAGGGGACAACAGTCACCTCGGTCCGGTTAGACACCATCCCAGTGCCCTGCCGCACCGACGAGACAACACCACACCACAGTGGCAATGGGTACGATACCCACCGTCCAAATACGGACTGACTAGACGCTGGTAAGATCCCATCCACTATGGGATGTGATCCACGACAAGGGACTCGATGAAAGGGCCATCTAGACCGGTAGAATGCCCCGACCCCAAAGATCGGGGTCATGGCCCTCGGCCCACAAAGCGACCAAGCGAACGACGACCCGGGGCGGCTGCCTACTTTGGGTATGACACCCCTAGGAACCAGGAGACGATGACGAAGGTCACGACAGACACCGCGTTGCACAGGACGACTGATGAACCACCATCGAGGCTATAGTGCCACCACGGCCGGCACAGTAGCGCCATGTCACACTCTGCCGCAACGTGGCCAGAAGACCATGATGATAGCCATGACCGGACGTGCACCAGAAGACGGCGTAGCTTCCAAGCCAAGTTAGCTAGGACCTCCCTCAGGCTCTCGACCCTTCGGTCGGGAGAACCTCCTGCTTTGTATGCGCCCTGGCCCCGAACTCTATATAAGGGCACCCATGGCACCCTCTCCAGACATTCTGAATCATCTACCATTCACCATTGTAGTAGGGCTCTTGTAGCTTCTCTTCGGGCAGCCCTTCGCCTAGCATAGGTCCTTCCATCTGTTCCACCATTCTTGCAACCCCCATTATAAGAACTTCAGAGCATTCAAGCGAGGAACACGCACTCGATCATCTCTAAGACTAGACGTAGGGCTCTAGTCTGAATGAGTATAAATCCTCATGTCTATTGGATGCTACCATCGTCTTCCTAGATCAGCGCGTCAATCGTATAAGTTTACTAGTCTAGTTTATAAAACACCGACAGTTGGTGCGCCAGGTAGGGGACAGTCGTGCACTCTCATTTGTTGAGATGGAAGCGATGGTTCCTCGCACTGCCGGTGGACTTGCTGGTGGAATGGCCCTTGACGGCCACATCCGCCGCAAAAACTACGAGTTCATTGGCATCAAAGGGCCAGCACCCGCGACCGCCCACGGCTACAACCCAAACCTCTGCCATAGAGATACAGGACATGTAGCCCACAGCGGACACACTCTCAGAACTACCTCCAGCGATAGCATCCTAGAGTTCACCTACCCAGAGGGCCAGTACCCTCGCTCACCGCTAGTCGCGCCTAGGCCTCTCGTTCGGGAAACCAAAGGTTCGCAACTCACAACAAACTCGCCTAGGGAATAGCCTCAATTGGCCACATCCTTTTTGGAAAACCACGTAGTTAATCACACCGAAGGGCCGACGCCCGTGTCCACCCTCAGCTATGACCTAGACCTCCGTCCTGTAGGTCTAGATCCCATGGTCCATGATGGACACACTCTCGGAATTGCCCTCGAGGGCTGCATCCTGGAGTGCACCCACATGAGGGGCCCAATGCCCTCTCTCATTACTGGCCATAGCCGAGACCTCCACCCGAGAAGCCAGACGGCCATGGCTCATGGCGATCTCACCCAAGGAATGGCCGGTGGCGGCCACATCCTTTTCAGGAACCACGAGATCACCCGAACCAACGGGGCAACGCCCATCATCCGCTTATACCCTGTCCAAACTCGCCGCATGGCAAAACTGGACCGTATAGTAGAACCACCCCTCAGACAGTGTCTCCGCCAGTAGGACACGACGAGTCAGGACGCGCACGAACGATGAGACTACCTGCCACCACGTGGTGTCATCGCGAGAGATCCAGCGGGTAGCCGACGCCACGCCACGTAGGGTTAAGTCTAGAACTAGGCTCTGATCCTACGTAATGGGCAAGCTGCACGACACACCACGGTGAACTATCAGCTATCGCTTGGAGGCGCGTGCATCTGAGGAAGCGGGCTCCCTAAGCGCACCACATGCCACGACGAGCGGATCGAACTGTGTTGCACTCAAGGCTAGCTCCCATAGTGATAGATCATGATAGTTCTTCATTAGAAGCGGTAGCTACATCTAGAGATGGAGATGTGGCGGCAGCGGTGACGTTGAACCAAGAGAACTCGGGCACCAAAATGCACGAGCCCTCCCGACCAAAAGCCACAGCAAGTCAGACATAAGAAGACCACCCTCAGGGGCTCGTAAGCCCCTCGAGGACGTCAAGCCGACGCGGACGGGCCCGAGGCTGCCCGGGAGACCAACCCACGCCAGCTACGACCGCTCAGGGCGATAAAGAAGCGACCCCATCAGACCGTAACCCGGAGACTACCACAACTCCACCGCAAGCAGACGCTCAGGGGCTCGACACTCCCCGAGCTACAGCAACCAAATCATCGATGGCTTTCGATACATCGGTCAGTCACATCCACTTTAACTTTGGCCTCACCGCCCAAGCGTGTCAACATACATATATAGGCTCATCAATAGCCACGAAAACTTAGGACCGGCCCGTAGAGCGAAACCGGATAGCATGACCCCACACAGCATGTCCTAGTAGCACTCAACTCCCGAGTGGCTCGATCCGACCCGCGCCCACGGCTGGATGCGACTCACTCACGGGGGCTACACTCATAGGTACACACACATGACCCATGGCGCGTCACCATTTGTCATCTTCCTAGCGATCCATCCATCTCAAACTTCTTTCCGACAGCGCCCCTCCCGACGAATTGATGACCCAAGCCTCGACCTCTCATCAACATGAACAGGGAACACGCTCGCTCAAGACAAAAGGGACAGGAGGGAAAAGGTCACGAGCCACCTGCTCACTTTCTTCTCGCATCGAGCCGGATTTGCGACCTACCCTCGACGTCACGCCGCTCCAACGGGGTATCCACTATTCTAGCCTCACGGACCAAACCCTAGGCTAGAATACGCGCCTACAAGCATGTGACCAAAGGAAAGAAGCACATTCCAATTCGAGCGAAAAGGAAAATGAAGGGACACCAAATGACAAAGAGAATGCACCAATCACACATCATTCACATGAAACCCAAGCAAGTTCTTTACAAAAAGGGCACACA